CTTAAGAGGTGAGACGATAAAACCGGATGTTTCTCTCTACATATTTCTCCACGCCTAGTCATCAAAGGAGGCTATGGTGGCATTTTGGCCGTTTTGAGGTTAGAAAATTGCGTTTTTAAGTATGGCACACCACTCCGATCAACACGAAATTTTTTCTGTGTCTTATTGGGTGTATAACTTAAGAAAAGAGGCAATTTTTGTTTGTGTCCTCGTTTCCATACGTCACCTAGCGCGAAAAAAGGAGAAAAATGATTCTTTTTTAAAATTTTACGAATTTTATTAGAAGCTAAAATATTATTCGATGATAATGAATTTTTTTCTACAAAAACTAAGCTAATTGATGTAGATTCTGACAAATGGTTCAATTCTATCGAAAATTACGAAAGTTATGAGGAAAAGACGTTAGCATAGTCAAAAATAGCCCCAAAAAGCGGTTTTTGGGGGTCTGAGGGGGGGCGGAGGGGGTTGGGGGCTAAAATTCCCCAAATCCTAAGTTTTAGGACACCCTTGATGACTTAAAATGGTTAAAATAAAAATCCGTTCACAAGGGCATTTTGACATGCTTATCCCGGGATACCCTTTAAAAAGGAATGGAGCAAGTTCTGATTAACAATTTTTTAAGGCAAGATTAGTGAAAGGTGACGAAGTTCTTCATGCCACACTACTGATCCTTTAAAAAAGTGGCTCTTTTATTATTAAGAATTTATAAAATAATCTTCAGTTGAAAGATATTAAGAAGCCAGGAAGAAACCTGCTCCAGAATGCTAAAGAGGGTGTTCATAAAGATCTCCAACGTTGCCGGCTAGAGAATGAACGGCTTGGGCAACCTCAGCTGCTAGAGAATCAGCGTTCTTTTGTGAATCAGCTTCTGCATAGATGCGCACAAAATTCTCTGTTCCAGATGGCCTAAAAATAATCATGGAAATTAGATCTATACCATTGAAGATTCAAAGTTTCGTTGCTTTCTCCTTAATTTAACGTTGTATTTAAAATTGTAGATCTTCTCTCCTACTACTACAATGCGTGATTTTACTCTAGGTGAACTTTTTTATTGCATAAATGAGTGTTTCACATACATTTTGCCAAGAAAACATCAGGATGTGTCAAAGCAAAACAAAATTAGGACGCTTCAAAGTGTGCAGTAAAAACAGAATATATCTAGGAGAAATAACTTTTCCAAAAAAAAAAAAAATTTAAAAGTAAAATTGTGCCGCCAAGTGAAACATATGAAAAATGACTCTTCCTGAAAAAAGGTGTTATCAATTTGGGTCAGTGAACGCCATATTACTTCCAAAAGGTTCTATTCCATAAAAATTCCAAAATATGTCTGAAATGTTCGTATTACTCAATTATTTTGGAAAATCTATGAAATACATCCCTGCGGAAATAACTCATCATTTACTGAAGAGTAGCATAATAATACTTTAGAGAGAGGTCATCTCTAATGTTTTTAATTTGGCGACATAATAATACATGTAAATGTTTATGATGGGACAGCACAGGTTCTACATCTTTTTATCATGCATGAACATATTTGGAATGTAACAATTACCATGCTGTTTGCCAGCCTTTGCGTTGTTTTTTGGTTCAGAAAAACAAACAGTCCACTGTTCTCTGCGGCTTTCAAAAGCCCTAAAATAGGGTTACTTTCCATACTCGTGGAACATGAAATCTCAAGGGATAATTAATTTGCTAGAAAAGGACAAGCGAGGTGGCGTGATGTCCCTTTTAGATTTATAATTATGAGCGGCCAGAAACTTCTTCATTAGAAATCATTTGATCAACCTTTATTTTGTAGTTTTAGTAAATGGGCCCTGGAACTGTCAAAAAACTGGCGGGAAGGGCCACTAGGAATCTAGAAGCAAAGTGGGTACAGCTCGCACAATATAGCCGCGGACCATTCGTGCGTAGTGGGAATTCAAATCGCCACGTATACGTGTGGCAAAATCCTGTTTTTCTACTCGCAAGTTCTCTTTGTGAGAGTAGAAATGAAAATTTTTTAGGAATGAAATGTATTAACAGCGTGATGAAGTATGTGTTCTAAAACTCTCATCTAAATACCTATCAATTTTCCTTGATGAAATATTCGCCCTTGGAGTGAAGATCTCAAATGGCGGGAGAACTTACTGTTCTTTCGACTGCACGAGATTCATATTCTACCATCATGCTTTGCGCGATGGTACTAGTCTGCTCTGTTGCAACTAGTCCACAATCCGAGACTCTCATTGGCTGGCTGAGAGATTCTATTATTCTTTGCTATAAGAAGGAAGGTGAGAGTGCCCACTTTGCATCTAGATTCCTGAGGGCTACTTTTGGAAGAGGGGAATGGTGCAAATCAAAATTCAGCGCTGCGGTAGTCTAGTGGCCAAGGCCATTGCACATTGGCCGACCGGTTCCAGGTTTCATCCCTACCTTAGCGTCATATAATAATTTTTGGTCCTCCCTGTGATTGTTGTATTTTGATTTTTTCTTAATTCTTTCCGCCTGCATGAATGAGTATCTGTTTCCAGATACATATTTATAATTAACGATGTTATCTAGTACATTTTCATTATATAAAGGTACCCATGAACTTGAGGTAGCATATGATCAATTAGCGCAAATAAGAGATAATCTACATGATAAAATTATTGTCAGTCCACCGCAACCTTGAGATTTCTCGTGCCAAATGGGGCCGCGTTTGGACTGGAGGTTCTGACCTTCGTCCCGCCCCTCAGGTTGTAGAAATCTGGGCTCATCGCATTCCAAAAGCTGCATATCTCCCTACGTGGAAACCACAGATATCATGAATATTTTAGATAATCCCATATACTTTCATCATTAGTAGGTGTGTAAGCATTGATTAAAACACCTAATATGACGGGTAAAAATTCGAAAAATTAAATTTTGCGCCGCTCCAAACACAATATACCCATAGTGGTACGGAATTAACCCGAAAAAATCCGAATTTCATCAGCTAGAAGCCTCCTAGCGGACCGATTATTGAAATTTAGTGTTTGTGGGGCGGACATAGGTTAAACGGCGGCGCGTGATAGGTCGGCTATGTCTTTTCGCTGCTTTGTCGTGCCTTTGTCAGGTGGAATGGACAATACATTCTTGGAGACTCAAAAAGTGCCTCTAGCTTGTCGTGAAGTCCACCAGACAAAGGCGCTAAAAAGCAGCAATAAGACATGGCCCATCAATAACGCTCTGCCGTTTGGCCTACGTCCGCCCGACAGACACAAAATTTCAATAATCGGCCCGCAGGCTCCCCTTGGAAGGTAAAAGGGTCATCCTGATTTTGACGGTACAGGTTTCTGGCAAAATTTTGAAATCCATAAGGATCATTCCTTCATCCTTCCTTGAGGGAGCCGGGAGAAAATAGCCTTCAGGTCAAGGACATCGTGCTTTGCTAGGATTTCTTGAGGATTGTTTCGGTCGTTCAGTCTGTATGGATAGGACCGCTAGTAATTAATAAAAAAAAAAGGGAGGAAGTTATTCTGAACGCTCGAAAAGCTGTAGAAGCTCCCACGTTCGTTCAATTAAATACCAAACCTATATTTTTGAATGTGTTACAGATTTGGAAAGATCACTGCGGCTCCCATTTTCCTTGCATTTTTACTTTGTCCTAATGGTATTCTTGATTTTTTATGTAGACTTGTTCTTTTATTTATGTTTTGTCTAAAATTATTTTATATTTTTAATCTAATTATGTAATGATTTTAGTTAAATTATTTAATGATTTTAATTTAATTATTTTATAATTTTAAATTAATTATTTAATCATTCTAATTTGATTACTTAATGATTCTAATTTGATTATTTAATGATTCTAATTTGATTTTTTAATGATTCTGATTTGATTATTTAATGATTCTGATTTGATTATTTAATGATTCTGATTTGATTATTTAATGATTCTGATTTGATTATTTAATAATTCTGATTTGATTATTTAATGATTCTGATTTGATTATTTAATAATTCTGATTTGATTATTTAATAATTCTAATTTAATTATTGAATAATTCTAATTTACGTATTGAATAATTCTAAGTAAATTATTTTATAATTTTAATTTAATTATTTCATAATTTTAGAAATGTAATCATTTTTTTACTGATATTTTAGACATACAGAGTTTCATTGCATTATAAAATCAATATTTTTTTCTGTAAACCATTAAAATTATGGTAAAAGAAACATCTATCATATAAATTATTTGGACAGCTTTATGCAATAACGAACTAGGGTCAAATTTTCGATTTCTTTTTTTTTTTTAATGATGAATTCTGTATGAGGAGGGTATTTACTTACTATTGAGAAAAAGAAAATCCTCAAAAACGATTTTTATCCCGTTTCAGCGACCCCGCAAAAATTTGCCGTCGCAGGATCACGCGAGGTTCAGGAGGGACCTATACTATGGTTCCCTATTGCGTAATGCGAAACTCGGATTTCCCATTTTGCAATTCGGAACTATAGGCAGGACGGCAAAATGCTATCTCGGCATTCTCGGCTCCTGTCCGATCAATCTTGCTGATTTTCGATGCTAGGCTGTATTTTTTGACGGGGAACTCGAATTTCTGGTCAAATTTTGTAAATTCAAAAATCCAAGATGGCGGATGTGGCCTAAAATGCTATCTCGGGCTGCTCGATCAATCGTGGTGAATCTTGGTTGTGTAAGGGCATTCCTGGACGGAAAACTCGAATTCCTAGCAGAGTTTCGAAAAATTTACATTTTTTCAAATTTTGACAATGAGCTTGTTCAATAATTTTTGATTTTCGTATCTTTTGAAGTATTTACTACGCATAAGCCACGATAATTTACTCCGATAAATCACACACACACATCTTTCACATTTCAATCCACGAAAAACAAGTTTGAGGTTGCGTCTTCTGAGCTCCCCATTAAACGCATGTCTCCGAGGAATGAAAGATCCCCCAGGGGATACTTACTCAAGTAAGGTCATTTTCGGCCACATCCACCATCTTGGATTATTGAATTTTTAAAATTTGATCAGAAATTCGAGTTTCCCGTCCAAAAATACCCCTTATTCCCGAAAACCAGCAAGATCGATCGAACAGGAGCCGAGATATCATTTTAGACCACATCCGCAATCTTGGATTTTTGAATTTTCAAAATTTCACCAGAAATTCGAGTTTCCCGTGAAAAAATATCCCTGATACCGAAAATCAGCATAATCGATCGAACAGGAGCCGAGAAAGAATTTGATGCCACATCTCTAATCTTGGAATTTCGAATTTTCAAAATTTCACGATTCACAGGTTTGTTGACCCATTCAAGAGTTTATCGATCAATTCACGGATTTTTCGAACGAATCACGGGGTTGTCAATCGATTCACGGATTTGTCGATCAATTCGCAGGTTTTTGATCGATTCTCGGTCGTCAATCGAATCAGTGCCGATCTAATCACGTCAATCGGTTCACGTTCCAACTTTTCGATCGATTCATGTCGGTCATGTCGGATTCATGACACCGGTTTTTCAATAATTTGCCGATCGAGTCGGTGTCGATCGATTTACGCTTTCATTTTTCAATCGATTCATGTCAATCAAATCTATAAACTCTCCCGTCCAAATTGCATGTTAAGGTGATTCGTCTAGCTCAAAAGGAGTGGTCGAACTGGCATGCGATATATCGCATCTTTTAGGTAAAAAATCTCGGCAGATTTTGAATTTTCAGCAAAAAAAAGGATGATAGCCCCTGCGCATGAGCCTAAAGAATCATTCTAAACCCAAAAATCGGCAAAATTCGGAGAAATGAAGGCAGGATAGTGTTTGGAAGAAAACCTCGCATTCGATTCTGCTATCGATTTCTGTATCGAATGCGAGGTTTTTTTCCAAAGACTATTCTGCTTTCATTTCTCTGAATTTTGCCGATTTTTGGGTTTAGAATGATTCTTTA